AATATACCTCTTTAGTTTCAAATAAAGCATCAACAGAAGAAACTGGAATATCACCAGATTGCAACTCCTCGAGTTCAGTCTTCACAACTGTTTTTGACTTTGAATTGTATTTTGTCTTATTCAAATTGCTTGTAGTGTACCTACAGATTTAAATGTGTTATTTAACATATGTTATAAATAAAAAAATAAAATATATAAATATAGATAAATATTATTTAAAAGTAAAATTAAATATAACCTGCTCCAAAAGTCATGGATTTCCTTCACTGAGTTGTGTGCAATTAGCTTAGTCACGTTTAAAGAAGTAGTGACTTGAACTTTTTCTTCAAAAGCCAAAAAAATAAAAAATTAGATGTTACATCATAGGTTATTGGATTATTTATAAAAATTACGAAACACATATTTAATGGACTTACTAAGATATTCTTTCATACGTGCTTGCTGCATTATGAGCACCCATGGCTCACCAGTATGTTCATAATGGCTCTCGAAAGCCAATAATTGGTTAACATAGTCGCCCCATACAGTGCAGTTTATAAACTTCTCACTGCATTAATAAAAATATACATTTAAAATGCCATTTGTAAACATGACTGTACATTGAATTTATTTTAATTAAATAGACTTACTCTAAGTCCATGAGAATAAATGCAACCATCTGTGTATCACCAGTTTTTACTTGCTTGTCCTGGACACTCTGGATATTAACAACTAATCCAATAACGTCTACAAAGAAATAAAATAAAATTACACACGTTATATTTATAAATGATTAAAAAATCAAAAAAATCAAATAATTTTCAAAACATTAGAGAGTAATCTTACCGAAAAGAATTGATTCATCAATTTGGTTGACGTTTTGCATCTCTGCAAAGTTTCTGAATTCAAATCGACACATAGGGAAATGTTCTTCGGTTTTCAAAAATATCGTGCTCCCATGCAGCATTATCTTAAACTCGTTGGTTGTAGATCGATACATTCCAATGTTCGAGTCAACTTGGTAGTTTCGTATAAGAATGACCATGCCCTCTTCAATTTCCTTCTCTCTGAAGCCTGGCAAGTACACTGCTCGCAGAATCGCTGTAATGTGTTTTCCCTTGAAAAAAATTTAAAACACCCAATTGAACCAAAGCAATATTGTATGTATATAACGAATATTCAAATATGCGATTATGAATACTGAAAAGTAATAACAAAAGCATATGTATGCTTACTTTTTTATCATGCAATATAAACTCCATGTGTGACTTGTATGTGCTGCCTTTATCAAGAAAAAACATCCTAACAACTCGAACTTTAAGCATTGGTTTCTTGCTCCTATTAATCTCTTCGATTAAACCAAATGCTTGATCCATTGCAGAGATGATTTTTCTCGTAAGATATTAATTGGTTGTACCCAGTTAATGTATGCTGGTGGTATTATATATATCTATACGGACACGGTTTAAGAGAGAGTTTTAATTCGGAAGAAAAATCTTGTAGTATTTTTTTTATTATGGACTTTGGAAAATAAATCCTATCTATATGCAAACAAATTGTGTATCCACGAGGTAAACATCCGCAATAAAATATTTGCTGACTTCTGGTCAATGTGGAAATTGTATTATTAAATTAATTAATTAATTGATATATGTATATTTTTTCGATTGCAGGAATTGTGGCCAAAAAGATAGGAAATCAAATCTGGGGACTCTTTCCTATTATTTACACGTGAATGAACGTGAATGAATTCATTAATGTTAATAAAATCTTTTTGCTTTATAAATTAAAAGATATTAAAAGATATTTGTATTAATCAGGTTCCATCAAAACGGACGTTTTCTTATTCTATCTTAACAGATTCCGTAATTTTTGTTGACACACGCCTCAATTACAATTTATTCAGTTGCGTTTTGAAAGGTAACAAAATGGAAAAATTTTACAACACGCCTCTTTTTTCGGAAATTTTGACGCGATTTAAAAGTAATTTGACGCGATTTGAAATGAAGAAAGACGGAAGGGTAAAGGAAAGTAAATAATTCTGTGATTTTTTATGAACAAAAAGCGGAAGGAATATTGAAAACTGAAGGTTGTTATTATAGATGTCTCAAAATCTATTTTTAGAAGTCAATTAATGCTTTTGGCGGGAATTAGTTGCTAAAAATGTAAAATAGTTAATCCTTTTATATAATGATAGATTATTTTATTTTGTAATTGGAAAATGTAATGCAATGAAGTCCAAAATATATAGAAGAGAATAAATATAATATGGTAAGAGACCTTCTCTTTCTCCAATATTAATCCAAGTTACTCAATTATTTTCTTGCATCAACAATAATCACACTCTAAAACCATAACTCCATTCGGAAAAACATATCTAATATCAATAGCTTAAAAGTTTTTTAAACATATCATATAAAACACCACCCCACAAACCTCACCACACTATCCAAATCCTGCAACAGAAAACCAATCAAGCAAGCAAAAAGTCGTTATTTAAAAAAAAAAAAAAAAANNAAAAAAAAAAAAAAAAAATACATAATCGAATTTGTTTCGCCTAAATCAACCACCATATCCCTTTTCCTTCCAAAATATCACGCTATTGACAGATTCCTGGCCTCTTTCACCTGTTCATTATCATCATCAGTTTTTCTTCCGGGGACTCGGTAAATGAAGCTCTGCAGAGTCTGTAGCAGAGGAGGAAGATGAAGGGTTGAGTCCATACTCGCTGGTGGCTCCATACTCGGTACTATTGAACTCCTGGCTCGTCATCACCATCTTCCGGAACTTCATCATGTCAGCATTGTATGCCCCAGTGTCGTAACTCCCTATGCTTCCGTTCGGATTGAAGGCCTGGCTTTGCCCCGGCTTCACGCCCTCGTTCAAATCCTCCAGTGACGAGTCCCCATCAAGCGCACGCACAATCTGAGTGTGTGTGAGCAAACAATTTCGATATTATTTGTAATATATGATTAACAAATAGCATTTGTATAATAATCTTGATTTTAGATCTTTAACCTGGCTCATGCGTGGGCGTCTTCTAGAAGAATGGCGAATGCAGGCGGCAGCACAGGCGATCAAACGAGCCATCTCGTGAGGAACATAGTTATCTTCGAGGCGTCGGTCAACTAGTCCACTGTAATCCCCACTTTCCAAACCTTTAGTCGCGAGTGGTCTTGCCTATTAAATTACAAAATTGTCAAGATTTTTTTAAGGTATTTTTCTAATTATGAGTAATGCAATGGATGTTGATATTAGATGACTGAAATAAAAAAAAACAAACCCAGTCTACTAAGCTTAAGCTATCCATGGCGTTATTTGAGGGATCAACTGGCCGACGTCCAGTGATTAGTTCCAAGAGCATGACCCCAAATGAGAAAACATCAGATTTTTCAGTTAGCTTGCCGCTAGCTGCATACTCGGGTGCCAGATACCTATAATCAAGGCAAGATGAGATATCCTGTAAGCACTAAAATTTTCATTATGAAATATAATGAAGAAAGAAAGCAGTCGTGTTTGTTATCTTAATAATAGATTCTCATGATGGAAAATGCTCGTCAGTCGTGTCAGATTAAATATATGATCTGCATAAATTGAATTACAAAGTGCAGAATAATATATTTTTTTTTTTTTTTCGCACAAACATAGCTTAAACCTGAAGTCCCCAGAGATCAGCATTGAAGAGAACTATAGAACACATCTTCACCAGACCATGAAAATATTATTAGAGCTAAATTTGCTCTCCTTTTGTTTCAACTTAATCACCAAGACAGCCACTCCATTCAACTCAAGTAACAAACAGAATAAGTGAAACACTCATTAATTTTTGAGAAACGACTTACCCAAAAGTTCCCATGACACGTGTCGAGACATGAGTGTAATTGTCAGAAGAGAGCTTGGCTAATCCGAAATCAGCCACCTGGAAATCAAAGCAATGAACAGGAATACAAACAACTAATGATCATGATCCACTTAAGACCATTATTTGCAGTTAATTAATTACCTTGGCCTCAAAGTTGGAGTCAAGGAGAATGTTTGCTGCTTTAATGTCACGATGGATAATCCTAGGGTGGCCTGTACAATAATAGCAACACAGTCAGAACATCGTATAAAAGCAAAAATGTACTACATTATACGTATGAAACAATCGCCATACAATCTTCATGCAAGTAAGCTAGCCCCTTTGCCGACCCCACCGCAATCCGAAGCCTAGAAGCCCAATCCATGACCGATTGCCCTTTTGCTGCAATCACACACACACACACACACACATATATATATATATTCATCACAGTCATGAGTTGCAGATTCAATACCAATATAAATAACACCACTGACTCACTCACTCACCATGAAGGTGATATTCCAATGTCTTATTAGGCACAAACTCATAAACGAGCATTCTCTGTTCCCCAGCAATGCAGTAACCAACTAAGGACACGAGATATCGATGATGGACACGACTAATGATTTCGACCTCTGCCTGAAACTCTCTCTCCCCTTGGCCGCTGCCCGACTTTAGGCTCTTCACAGCCACTTCCTTCCCATTGGGCAGAATCCCTTTGTGCACGTACCCAAACCCGCCCTGCCCAAGTAGGTTCGCCTGAGAGAACCCATTAGTTGCAGCCGCCAGCTCATCGTAAGTGAACGGGCTCTTCGCTCCATACCCTCCCACGTTAGGAGATGCAGCTGAAGCCTGCAATTGGAAAGGGTTGTGGCCCGAATGACTACTCGGGCTGAACTCACTGCTACTGTTTCCTGCCAAATGCGGGCCCCACCCCCCAACAGGCGTCCCCAGGGCGCCAGGTGGCGGAGGAATCTTCATGTGGGGATCGATGGTCGGGCTCACTTTTTTCTGTACTGGACCTTTGTAGTAATTATTATCACCACCTGAACGAATCATGGAACAAACGCTAGTGTAGTATAGGAAATCGATATTTAATTTAACCATTCTGAGAGAGAACATATAAATTAGCTTACCTTGCTCCAAATAAAACTCCCGTTTCTTGTTCTTCTTCCTGATGCAGAATGCACAGATGAAAATGAGTGCGAGGAACACTATTCCACCACCTATAATCCCTGCAATTATGGCTACGTCGTTTGTGGACTGTGAAGGACTTGGCCCGATTGGGGGCCTTTCATTATTATTGCTATCTGGCCTCGGTGGGGAAGGTGTTGAGATGGCTGGCGATGGAGGAGATCGGCCGGAAGGCGCCACCGGAGTCGCCGGAGACACCACGGGCGTCCGATCGGATTCCGGGGACGGGGCGGCGGGCGGCGGCGGGGTTTGGGCGTTGGATGG